GCTATAAATAATATTTTGGTAGTGTTTTGCAATGTTTATTTTAAAGAAAATTTTGGCGAGGTTCAAAAAATGCAAAATATTTTGTATTTTGTCCCTAATATTTCAGGCAGGGTCAAAGCTACAATGGTGCTGACACCAGAAAACCATTCTATGACATCTTACCTTTACAGACGTACCAAAAGTTTCTTCTTAAATCTAATAGCTTTGAGGCTATAAGTTATTTACTTTTGTGTGTTTTTGTCAGGCAGAAATTTATTTATACCCCCTTAGGGTGTAAGAGGTTAAAGTAAAAACTTATCATTTATAAACTATAACTCGCAATAAACAAATCATCTAAAGCCCCGCGCTGATAAATGAAACATTGTTTTGCATCACTAAGCACTAATGATTCTCATAGCTTGCTTGGCTGTGCTGAAAATCCACAGACATACACATGCGTGTCCATGAGAAACTGGGCATGGAGGCTTCCCTACTCACTTTCAATTAATGAGGGGTGAGGTTTTTATAACGGCAGCTACAGTTCCAATTCAGCATAGAGGCCTCTTGACCTTTTGACTCCAACGCGCCATGCATGCACACACTCTTTAATCCCTTCCACTTCCCCTGTATCTCACTGAAAATTGGACGATTTAGAAAAGAGTGTGATTCTCACTCTTATTAGTCTTAGAAATTACCCGTCGCTCATTCATCTTTTAGCCTCATTATCTGCCAGACTGTACTTTTATTTCAATCTTTTTCTAATCACATATCCCTTTTACAATTAACCGACAGCGGGCATCCACGCAGACAGACCCCCTTCTCACATGATTATGCAACCGTTCTCTGGACCGTTACATAAACCCAGAGAGATGGAAGCAGGTCAGGCCATAATGACCTACATGTACGGGGAGATCGGAGACCAGATTTTAAAAAGATAACTCCAATTTCTTTTTAACAGAACTTAAATAGAAAACTTATGTCGTTCATGTTTTTCTTTTTCTGTGTCCCACTTTAGTGGTCAGGGTTGACCCAGACTAATATGATTTATGCAGCCTTTTAGATTAACATCTACTGTGTGGATCGGCTGATCTAATACTTCAGGATTTCAGAGGTTTTAAAATCTTAAACAATATCCCCGTTCTTGTTTTCTGGCAGTGTTTTGTTAAGTTTTTTTTAAACTAAAGTTATATAAATATGACTTCTACCATCATTCCACTTCAACAAAAGCTGACAGGAAGATTTTTCAGCTTCTGTTACTGCTTTGCTGCCCATCCATTTGAAGCCTTGTTAAAAGGGTAAACACTGATTAGAATAATTAAAAAAGGTATCAACTTTGACCAAGCTGTTCAGCTTTCATGGTTTTTGAATTTCTATGATTATTGTAATACAGTGAAGTGAGTTAATCAGTGGAGAGGGGTCTCCACTTTGCTTTTTTATCATCATGTGGGATAAAATGATGCAAATCATGTGATGCTCAGAGATTGTTTCTGCTTCTGTTTTCATCATCGAGGTTATTTTGGTCTCTGACATTTTTAGACCCAGAGGCATAATCTGTTCATTATTTAATTGGGACAGTTTAATTTAATCCACTGTGATTCCATAAATGGCATGAAAAACGTCACAAAACACATCAAAAAAGAGCACAATAACAGATCCCTCCTGTTGAACTTTGGAAAACTTAAAGCTCCACTTCGGTACTTTTAATGAATAGTTTCATGTCCAAACAGCCTTATTATACCTCAAAAGACTGATTCTGTCCTCAGGTCAATTAATGTTAAAGCATAATATGGGATAAAAAAACCATAAAATAAAATAATTGATTTAGTGTTTTGCACAATCATTCATACAATTTTGCTGTTAAACATTTTGTCATGCCATAGCCCCAAATTCTGCATTGAATTTTTATGGAAAGGACCAAGTTTTCCAAATTTCTTTACAAATCAAAAATCTTAAAAGTTTAGTGTGCATCCTTAGCCTCAAAGAGGTTTACTGTAGAAGATTCATTATCAAAAATCATTATTGGGGAAAAAATAATTCAGTGCTTCTAAAAACTTGAGACTTGGTTGGATGTTAATTTTTCAGGACAACCACTATCAACACCTAACAAGACTGGTTTAGATCACAGTATATTCTAATGTTAGAAAGGCAGAGTCCAAATCCAGACCCAAATAAAACTGGGAATCTTTGACAAAGCCTGAAAATCTTTCCCTTCATTCTTACTTACATTCAGTCAGTTTTGGAAGAGGATCAAGCAACAGATTTGAGTCTCTAGAGGTGTTAAGCTGGTAGATGCATATCCTAAAAGACGTAGCTATAACTGCATGCTGGATTTTCTATTGTTGGAAGAAAAAAAAGTGATCTTCCCTCCACTTTGTAAGATGCACTACTTTCTATGACAGAATATTCTAATGTATTTCAGGTTTTTTCTGTAGGACAACTGGCTATAAGAGTGGATTCCAAAGTAATTAATTGCTAATAAGAGTTTGCAGTAGCAGTAATCAGCTCTGTGTTGGCTGGTTAGTGGAGTAGAGGAGGTAGTGCAATTACGGTATGTAGAATTTAAAGTGAATGCAGGTTTCCACATAAGCAAAAACTGTCATCATTCTTCCAAACAATCTGTTTCCACATTTATTTTTAAGTTACCTCCACCGAGAATCATTTCCTCTCATTTATTCCAGCTTATTTCCCCGAACAGTTTGGTTGTTGACATAAAAGGGTGTGACTTTCAGATACAGCAGTAGGATTTTATTGTTCAGTTTTTGCCAAATGAAAGTAATCTGATAAAACATGAACCTGTTTTCTATATTAGAACAGGCTTAGGAGGTCAGACGTGTTAAGATTAATATATAAATATATGATGAAACCATTTGATTTTGATTCCTTTAGAGTTGAACTGTTCACTTGTTTCGGTCGGAGAAAATGCTAAGAATGAACTAGAATAAAATTATGGTAAGAAAATTATGGGCTTTCTCCTGGTCGACCAAACATAAATTGATGAATTTTCGTTCCAAAGGAAGCATTTGCTCAGATTTAATCTCTTTCATGAAAGCAAGAAGAAAAGGGTATTTTTTCCATTCTGCTCTGGGTTCACTGAGCTTCTCCCTCCTCCTGGTGCCAGATCCGATGGCTCCCCGCCGGTGCTTGTGGGATACCACTTTAGCCGAATCACTTCCAGGTCGAAGCTTTGACAGACGTTGGGCAATCAAATGTATTTAGGCCTCAAATCGAATTTAAAAAAGGGATACTTAAAAAAAAACTTTGGAAACCCTTCTAGATATACTCCTTTTTTGAAATCAGCATCTTAGATTAGGCAAAAGTTCTTTCCACATCATAAACCCTGAGAATGATGGATGTTATGTCAGAGTTCTCCTTCTCTATATGTGGTTGCAATGTGATAAGACACTTCCTGATTGGATTAATGTATGAACATGAGCAGAAAAGCTGCTTTGATTGGTGAAATGACCCCTGCTTCTTTTGCTGTGAGTCCACAGTTCTTCGGACCTGTTGCATTATGCCATCCATGCCTGTTTCCATATCACACTTAACTTACATCAGCTAAAACGTTCCCTTTAAACTCTCTGTCTGTCCTGAAATCTCTATTTGTTTTGGTGTTTGTGTAAACAACATCCACGATAAGAGAGTCACCAAACCCCTCACTCTTTGACATCAGATCCCAAACTATGTGAAGGGGGATCTCTAGCCAGAATTAAATGTATAATAATAATAAGAAGAAATGCAGCTTTATTTATAGTCTGATAGTATCCCTTAGCTCTATCTAGGACAACGGGTAAATAGAGGCACCTGTATATTATATAATTTCAGTATAAATTCACCTAACCTTTAATGTTTTGTTAGTTGTTTTGTTTTATCTTTAAGAGAATAAACAGCAATAAAAAAGACCAACTAACACGGCAGATAGGTCAGAGAGAAACATGTAGAGAGGTTTGAAGCAAAGAAAGATAAGACTTTGAGCTGAATAACTTCAGAGTCACTGAATATTAATGTTTGCCATGCTTTTCAGGTTTTTATCATTTCAAAGATTTTAGGAATTAGGTGCTATTCCATTAAAGATGTAAATACATAAAAACAGGCGTCCACTTTTCTACGTTTGTGGCATCAGGATTAGATTAGCTGCTGTGTGGAAAAAAAAAAAAGCAAAAAAACATGAAAATCCTCCATATTCAGACAGATGCAGCTGTGAACGCCTTGATTTTTTCCAAACTCTTGATGATTGTGTTTAGCTGCGTGAAAGAGCGTGAAACCTGTGCAACATTGAACTTAATTTGACCGATTTACTACCTCTTTCTCAGTGGAAATTTGTGTTTTTAAATCTTTTATCGATAAACGTATAAAGATTATATAGCTACACCACTAAAGTAACCAACATTCTCTCCATTTCTACATGAAAGAATTATTCTTCAGCCATTAAATAACTTATTAAACTAAAAAAAAAAATGCAAGGGACATGATGTCTGTCAATGTGTTTAAAGAACAGAAAAAGGGTTAATCGCAATACAATGAATGACTGGTGACTCGGTCCAATTAATAAACATGGCTGATTAACTGGTGCATCCTTGCAAAATATAAACCTGAGGAGTTTGAACTTAAATAGGTGAATTTTATTGGAAAGAAAATGTACTAAAACTGGTCTAAATGATTTTTCAATGTAGCTCCAGAAAAACTTTCCTTGGAGGAGTTTTAAAACTCCCTCTCAGGGAGAGTTTCCTATATTTTATGTTCTGTTTCAGTGCTGTGGATAAAGTTGAAACGGTTTGGACTAAATATTTCCTTTGATCCTGGAAAGTGTCCCTGAAAGTGAAAATGTGCCTCGTAAAAGGAGGGATTGTATTTGAGTCAATGAGTCGATGCAATCAACTGGTTTTCCTTAGATAGAAAACTTTGTATCAATTTGACTGTATGATCTGGTTGAACTGTAAAGTGCCTTGAGATGACATATGTTTTGAATTTGGCGCTATATAAATAAACTGAATTGAATTAAAACCAGTTGTGTTTATTTGCAGGGGGAATGCCGGTACGAACAGCAGCTGTCTTCCTACCTCCATGGAGACACCGACACCAGCAAGAAGAAACCAAAAGCTGCAAAGATCGGCACAAAGAATAATAAGAACAAAGTTAAACCTTGTCACTCGTCCCGGTCTGAGCTGGAGTATATCGATGAGGAGGCAGAGATGGATACTGCAACCGTGGCGAGGTTCAGTTCTACATCAATCCCAGAGAAACGAAGGCTCCCAGATGATGGTTCCACTGATGGACCTCCTGAGGAGGATTTAGGAGCTGCTCCTTCACACAGCTTTAACAATGACTCTGACATGGCTACTATTACAGAAGCAGAACAATCCTTTAGAGATCCTGCAGAAACGGACGATGTTATAGTGTTGAATGCAAGAAATGATGAAGATGATGATCTTGAGGAGATGTTCTACCTTCCTAAAAACTGTTCTGTGTCTCGGCCGCACTCTGACAAACCCAGAAGAGACGAGAGTCTGAAGGCCATTCTTTCCAACGAAGCCGAACTCCTCTCTCGATCTCCGCCTTCACTGGAGAGCATTTTAGAGGCAGGAGAGGCTTGGAAATGTCATCCTCCATCACCTCAGATGCCTCTTCAACCTTTCCCCGTCAGTTTCAGTTTGGAAGTGGATGATGACGAGGATGATGATAGCTGTGATGATGTGTCAGCTCCTGACCAGAACTTTGATGAACCGGTGACGGTGGAAGGTGGCGGTGAGGACGGGGAGCCTGATAGTCCTACCTGGGATGAGGTCTTCGAGGATGAAGAAGTCGTTGATGAAAATAGCAGAGATGATGAGAAAGAAACGGATTCTAAAAAGGGAGATGATGTAACGAGGTTGGAGGATGCTGCTGGGGTGGAAGATGAAGACTTTTCCAGCAACCTCCAGATGGATGAGAGTATGGACTTGTTTGAAGACGACGAGGCTTTCATGCAGATGACAATTCCAGATATTCCTACTCCTGAGGACAGCTTCCCAGCGAGGGAAACCAACGCCTCACTCGCTGAGGATTGCATTGAAAAGATGGCTGAAGGTGAACACGATGAGGCTTTAGGTGTAAAGCTAACGATTCAAAGCAGCCACAACATGTCGGACAGACAAGCCGAATTTCACAAACCAGCAGATCATTCACAGAATGCTGCTTCCTGTTTCCAGTCTTCGACTGTGAGAGAAAATCCTGAGCTACTAGATACCTCTCATGATTTATTCTCAGTTAATTTTGATCTTGGTTATTCGCTGGACGACTCTGAGGATGAAACTGAAATGGAAGCTGCACCCGCTTCTCCATCTTCTAAAAAAACAGCTGATTCTGCTGCGCCTTTGCCCTCAACTTCTACTTCCTCTACTCATCGTAACATCTTCGCAGGACGCCTCAGGGAGTCCAAGTTATCTTCTTCACAAACGAAAGTGAGCTGTTGGAAGTCTAAGGCTGAAGAGCTTCCATCTCCTGTTCCTTCACTGGGTATCAGACGGACACTCCTGTCCGGGTTTACCAAACCTGGCTCTTCCAGTCCAAAGTGGAGCCGAGCAGAAGGTGGCGTCGCAGCGATGAGCACCAACAGCAGCTCCTGGCAGGAACCGGTTCATGTGAGGGAATCCTCTCCTAATCCAGGTCTGTTCATAAAAACTAAGTCCAGCTTTATGTTTTAGCGTGAGCAGCTGCTCCCTAATCAGCTAGAAAATCAACAATAACTTTAATTGAACAGGTGAAACTCATATTGCTGCTTTTCTCCGGGTTTAATATACATTTCAAGTGTTTCAATTGCCATGATTATTGTTTTGGCACTAAAGTTAACAAGCTAAATATAAATATTATTGCCTACACGTTCATAACTAAAAGCTGTTTGCTAATTAAAGAAGAGTGCTGTACCCTAACATTTTAATGGAAAGTTGAGTGGAAGGAAAAGGTGCATTAAAAAAGGTGCACAAGTACATTGACTCAGAATCAGATTTATGGCCAAGTAGGTTTGCACTTACAAGGAATTTGACTTGCAATTGATGGTGCAGACAAATTAGATATAGTGAATAGTGAATACAGAATCTATAGCCACTGTATGTACAATATAAAACATATAATATGCTATATACAATATATAGTCAAATATACACAGTAGACTGTGAAGTAATGTAGCACAGGAGGTCTGGACATGCTATGTTGGTGTAGCTTCTAGGTTCTGAACGGGGGAGGGAGAGAAGCAGTGTTAGTGTCACAGGGGTCTCTGGGCCTTGTTGATAAAGCTGGTAGCGGATGGGAAGAAACTGGTCTGGTAGCATGAGGGTTTGGTACTGATGGAGCCTCCTGTCAGGGGGAAGTGACTGAAATAGTTTATGGCTTTGTGTACTGATTTAGCTTCAAAAATATTGTGACTGTCTATGAATGTTTCTTTTTTTTGTTTACATAAACTCTAGTCATCAAAATGAAAAGATTTAACAGTTTTAATACACTACTCTGTGCAACTAGTTTCCCTAAGTAAAATTTTCTTCTCATTTTGGTGCCTTGTCTTGTATTCTGATGTTTGCCTCCTTTTATTTAGGAGCTATTTATCTTTTTCCTCACAGCGGCTCTAGTTCTCCAATGTTCTACCCATTAAATTTAAAGTGAATGAATCAAATTAAATCCTTTTGTATTAGTATTGTGATGTATTAAGATTGACCTGTAAATCCCCGTAGCTTTCTGTAGGTTTGTCCAGTTTGAATCTATAGTTCAGATGTTTGAATGTTGTGTCTGTTCATCTGCAGCGCGTTACAGTGACAGTGAAGAGGAAGTAGTTCAACACAAAAGAAGACAACACAAGGTCAACCCCTTGTCCTCCCCAGACGTGGTGAGTAAAGTTAGCCAATAGGAAAGCTTATTTAAATAGTTAATTAATCATTGAAACCAGTCAGGATTTGATAAAAATAATTTATTATGAGAACCATACCGTTATTGTTAAAAAAAAACTACAAAAAAGTGGAAATGCACCGATTACAACCTTGTTTCTTATTCAATAATGTGGTAAATTCAGACTTCAAAATGTATATAAAAAATTTTTAATAGTTGATGCTAAATGTAGTAAATTATATGGATGTATATTTGTAATGATTTCTGCAGCATTATCTTATAACTTTGCAGTGGTTATTTTAAAATGCAGCAGTCCCTTTTTCAAAAAGGATATTATGATGCAGTATTTAATAATCAACCAATAACCGTTTTTATGTTCTTCCTACTAAGTGAATACACGCAATTAATGTCTTTTTTGTACTCTGAGCTTTTCAGTCTTAGAAATTATATTAAAATCTGCCAAACTGTGGTGATTTCATTTTTTTGTATTGTAATTTCCTGTGTAGGAACATCACATAAACAGCTTTCTTAAAATAGACGGACTACTAAAACAACCTGTGCTGCAACAGCAGAATGCAGTAATAATACAACAATAATACGACATGTAAATGCAATCATCGATTTCAGGCACCAAAAAAGAAAAATTACTACATGACTTCCTTTTAAAACCAAATCAAAAATACATTTTTAGATGCTTGATGTGGCAGAAATTGTTACAAAATGCATCTATGGACTGTATTACATTTTAAGGCAATAATTACAACATGTATAGTAGCACTGCTGCCTTGCAGCAAGAAGGTCCTGGGTTTGATTCCTGGCCCAGGGTCTTTCTGCATGGAGTTTGCATGTTCTCCCTGAGCATGTGTGGGTTCTCTCCGGGTACTCTGGCTTCCTCCCACAGTCCAAAAGCATGACTGTTAGGTTAATTGGCTTTTCTAAATTCTCCTTAGGTGTGAGTGTGCATGGATGGTTGTTTGTCCTGTTTGTCTCTGTGCACTGTGATGGCCTGGCACCCTGTCCACAGGGTGTACCCGCCTCTCACCCTTAGACAGCTGGAGATAGGCTCCAGCTGTCCCTCATAACCCCAGCAAGGATAAAGTGTGATGAAAAATGAATGGATGGAGGGCTGTAGTAATGTTTTATTACATTTTAAAGTATGAATTTGTTATATTACGCAATGCAGTGGTTAATGTTAGAACTGCTAAGACCAGTTTTTGGCCAGTTCTGATTTTAGTTAATGGAGCAAAGGCACATAAAAGAAAAGTGTGATGTGTTGTTGCCCTTAGTAGTTTCCAAAAATGAATTTTTTTATGAGAAGTCTAATTTTAAGAGTCATTGAAGTTTGAGTGTTTTCTATTATCTTTAAGTCTTAATTATCAGAATTAAGAAAAATAAAGACTTGAAAAATTATATAAAAGCTTTACTAATGTACCCCCATGTAAACCTCCATCCCCAAGACTCCATGGATCTTTTCTCTGGATAAATGTACTGATAATGAGTCTGTGCTGAAAAGAAAACAATATTGTTTCATATTAAAGTTTGATTTTTCTGCTGTAGGACATTATTGCTTTATTATTATTTTTTTGCTAGTCCAAAGTCCTGAGTGATGTGGACTCCCCGGTGGTGGTGAAGAAGAAACGTGCCTCTGTTCTTAATGTGGTGAGATTATGAACATTGCCTATAATTAGCACAGTTCTGTCTGGATTTTATGTCGCAGAACAACACAAAGTAGTGCAGCGGTGAATACATTCTACAAATATGCATACAGCATATCTAACATTATAAATGTGCGATGTCTGATTATCCTCTTTCACTCAGACTGATGAAACACAAGCCGAAGCTTTTTCTGATGATGATTTCCAGGACGACTCGATGTTGACACGCAGAAAAACGCCACCTGGAGCGGAAAGGGAACTAGTCCAACGGCCTCAGAAGAAGGTCGGTACATCAGCAATCGCCTTTACAGTGTGCAGTGAGGTGGATCTATGTGATCAGGGCCTATATTTCTATCTGGATACAGTAACGCCTGCCCAGATACAGCTATGTTAACAGTGCTCTTCTCTAACCTCTTACACCCTAAGGGGGTATAAATAAATTTCTGCCTGACAAAAACACACAAAAGTAAATAACTTATAGCCTCAAAGCTATTAGATTTAAGAAGAAACTTTTGGTACGTCTGTAAAGGTAAGATGTCATAGAATGGTTTTCTGGTGTCAGCACCATTGTAGCTTTGACCCTGCCTGAAATATTAGGGACAAAATACAAAATATTTTGCATTTTTTGAACCTCGCCAAAATTTTCTTTGAAATAAACATTGCAAAACACTACCAAAATATTATTTATAGCACAAAAAAGTAGTACAGACTTTGAAATCTAAATGTTGTGTAAAAATATACAAAATGTTAAATCAGAATGCACTTTCATAGATATAAGCTCATTGGCTGCAAAAAAATTTATTGCTTTGACTTGGAAAAATATCAATAGACCTAGTGTCACGCAGTGGTTAAAACAGATGGCGTCTAATTTGCCGCTAGAAAGAATAACATATATTAGGAAATCCAAAGGGTATCTTTTTGAGAGGATTTGGGGGCCTTTCATTAATTTTATTAAGGATTTAGACTTGACAGAGGGTTTGTTTGAGTTCTGATTTGCCAGAACCTGTGGTGTGCCATGTTGTATAGATGTGTATAATTATATCTGACCAATTTGTAATCTGTGTGAATACCCCAGTTTTTGAGAAGCTGTGTTCTTTGTTTTGTTTTTTTGTTGTTGTTGTATTTTATTTCTCTGGATTGAGTAAAATAATTATTGTCATGTAATGACTACAAAGAGAACCTGTTCAAATAACTACATGCTTGTATTTCCGAAGTGTAAAAACTCAATAAAAATATGTTGGTAATAAAAAAATATACAAAATGTGGACTCAATCAGATGAATCATATTTATTTTAGAATGGTATTAGTGAGAAATTTCTTAGGCGGAGAGGCCAATTTGGCACATTTATCCATAAATGTCACCAAACTGTGCCAAATATGTTTTTTACATCAATACTGGGGGTTTGGTAAAATTACGAGGTCATGTAGCAGCTGGACCCGCCGGTGGGTCCGTAGGGTTCAAGGGGCTAAAAGCTTTAACCTACTTTTAGATCCGTCAGCTGAGAATATACCTTCGTGTTTAGTCGGTAAAAAAAAAAAAAAAGAAAAGTCACAAATCCACTGGACTTTGTTTCCAAGTTTAAAGATTTTTTGTTTCCCATCCAAGAAGCTTTTTCAATTCAAAATATCAGGAATAACGTTGAGTTTGAGGTTTTATACAGTAGCCCACCAAAGCCTTGTTTTTGTTTAAAAACATGTAAATTGAAACGGACGAACGGGTCCACCCCTTTGGAATGGGGGTTGCTTGGCTTCTTTTGTCAGCCTGCAATGCCCCATACCCGTCTAAGTGCCTGAAAGGTCGGTCGTTAAAGGGAATTGTTGGCCTGGCTGAATAGACGAGGTCCTCCGCTCTCCTGTACGGAGGCTGGGGCTGCGATGATAGCAGGAAGGGATAAATCAGTTGCTTTGTTTAATCTGCTTCAGAACACGATGGGTCCAAAAGCGCGTCAGTTTCTGGACGAAGAGGCGGAGTTATCAGAGGATGAGGAGGGAGCGGATGTTTCGTCTGATGAAGAAGACGGTGCAGAACTGAATCGGTCTCTTGAAGGCTTCGTTGTAGACAACACGCACCTGTCCCAGGGACTGGATGGTAAGCTGCTCGGCCGCTGGCGCCTCCTTCAGATCTACTGTTCGGTCTACTTACTCTGGTTCTGTTCTTCTCCTCATCAGACTCAGAGATGCAGGGAGTTTACCTGAAGTCTGTGCGAAGTCCTGCAGTCCGGGGCAAATTTAAAATGTCCTACAAAAAACACCATAACATGGACATTTTTTCCCAGGTTTGTTCTAATGGTTATGTTTATCTTACCGATCATACAGATTTAGCTAAACTGACCTTTGCTCCCAGGTGCCAGAGATGGACGAGACGTACGCAGAGGACAGCTTTGTTGTTGGCAGCGATGAAGAAGAGCTGGTGTGTAATGAGGAAGAGCCCGAAGACATCGAACTTCTGCCCGAGGTGTCATACATGGATGGGAGAAGGCAGTATGCAACCAGACGGCGCGTTTTTCTGCACAAAGCTAGAGCAAAGGCCGGAGCTGAGAACAGAACTGAGTCTGCTGCAGAGCAGAGGACCAAAACCAAACGCTCCCGTGTCATCTGCTTAGACGATTCCAGCGAGGAGGAGACGGGGGACGAGTGCAAAAACAGGGGTTCATCAACAGCTGGCAGCGCTGTCCCTTTACAGGCAAACAGGCCACATTCTGAACCCAGTGGGCAGAAATTCACGTCCTCTGCATCTGTAACCATAGCAACTAAAGTCTCATCGTTGAGTAAAGGACAGAGGAGTTCACTGAGTGAAGAGCAGCAAAATGAGAGGTAAGAAATTAAACAACTTTATAACTACCTGGCTGCAGGCACTGAAACACATCATCTACTGATGTCATCATCTAAAGAGCTTCTTCATTATTTATTTAAAGCAACTCTGTGTCACTTTAACTTGAAAATGTGCTTAATTTTAGAAAAAATGTAATGGTTTTTCAGGCCTGTAAGCACCACTCTGTAACTATAGAGGGTTGGATCTGTCTCTGAATGAGTCATGTGACCCAGAACAATGCTTTATGGCAGTGTTAGCTCCACTTTAGCACCAGAGCTAAAAAAAAAAAGAACAAAACAGATATGACACCTGATCATCTTTGATTCTCTGCTGTAGGATTTAATCTTATCTTTATAAGAAACTCCAAAAGTTTCAATCTGCCGCTCCAATTTGGTCTGCCATCAGATTCTAGAACTGATGGAGCTTTTTTATTTGGCAACAGCACAACACTGCCAGTTGTTTTCAGGAGCACCAAACCTGGAAGTTAAAGATCAAGCGCCCCCTAGTGGCCGAAAGCTACACTGTTGTTTCAATTAACAGATACAGTAACAGAACAAGGTGAGAAACTTAGTTTGTGAGTTTGGTTTTAAGTCAAAGTCAGATATTTCATATCAGCAAAACAAATATTATACGTTTTCAAAGGTTATACGAATTATATCCCTTCATAAAGTCTCTTTTAACAACTGCATTTTGTTTTAGTCTTGGTGTATTTATCCTTGTTAAATTTGTCTGATGATCTGAAAAAGAGGGAATCTGCTGTGGTAGCAGTTTTTAAACAGAAAAAAACACTACTGAGACTTGAAGTTACACAGGAACAGATTAACCCTTCACTGTTTTTTGTTTTGTTTTTTTACATGTGTTTAAACCGACAAGCCTCTCAGATATTAGAGCTTCCAAGGTACCATATGGCTGCTGTCTGTGCTCTTTAAGGTGTTTCAACATAATCTGCTTTTGATTTACAGCAGAGATATTTTTTTTCTGAAACCAGGTCGCCTGGAGAAAGGGTTCTGATCATTCTCTTCTTTTTCCCCGCAGGTGTCGTCGTACATTAGAGAATCAGCATCTTCTCTCTGATGAGCTCGACTTCGCAGCACCAAAGCCAACTATAAATGCAGCAAAAGAATTGCAGGTACTGTCCCAAGGATGATGAAAAGTCCCCCTCCCTGTGTGTGTTTGCAATAGCGACCTATGACTTTAACTCTGCAGGGACTCCCCACAACCAAAGCACCTCAAAGCTCCACTGCTCAGGGTCCATCAATGAACGGGCCGCCATCGCCGTTCGGGTCTGTCTCCATCTTGGTGGACAGCCGCTGCATCAGTAGCGGCGTGGAGCTGATGACGAGTCTCCGTCAGCGACATGGTGCCAACGTCCACGTTTGCTCGCTTGACAGCAGCTACTTCATCGTAAGCAACCGCATGGCCGTGGAAAGACTCAGCCAATCAGATTTAGCCGCAATGCAGAACCGGAAGCGACTGGTGGAGAGGCTGAGCAGCCTGCAGGGAATGTTTGAACGGGTTTGTGTAATAGTGGAAAAAGATCGGTCCAAGCAGGGTATGTTTTAAAAATGCATTTCCTGTTTTAACCAGTGTCACACAGAGCTGATGCCCATCGTTCCATGTTGACCTTGACTGTTACAGGTGAAGTTTCCCGTCCCTTCCAGCGCACACGTTACTATGACAGCACTATAGCAGCTCTGGTTCGTGCGGGGATCCGCCTGCTTTGGAGCGATGGTGCTGAGGAGAGCGCTAGCTTGTTGGCGGACCTGGCGAAGCTGGAGCACCGTAAAGGTCAGGGCATCGCTGTGCCGCTTGAGGTCAAAGGGCAGCGAAGGCAGCAGACCCTGCAGCTGTACCAGAGTTTACCTTCGGTCAGCCATGTGCACGCGCTGAACCTGCTGCACAACTTTAGCACCATCGCCCAGCTGATAAACAGGTAAATGTTCTGCAGGAGAAACCGCCCCGTGTTTCTATGCACTCTGGATATGTTTAGATTCTGAAAAAAATTTCTAGAAGGGGCGGGGCTTTTTACTTAGTTTCTTAACTCTAAATGCTGTCCTTCTAAATAAATGTTGACCTTTTGACCTTGGCTCATAACAAAAGCTTCACAAACACCGAACTGATTGATACCAATTAAGTTTTAGTAAGAGGAGGTGAAGCGGCTTGTTGACCTTTGGTGTCCTCTGGAAGGTTTTATTCATTTCTCTAAAGCTATACTAGCACAAATGAGAATTTAAAGGAATAGTACACCCAAAACATGATTAGCCTTCATTTTCTACTCACCCCCATGCTGAACAACACTCTGGAGTACCTTTTTGATATCTCAAATGCATCTGGAGATCTGGGAGGCTTCTTGCTGTCTGCTGACATTCAAATAATGGAGGTCTATGGTGCCCGAGGCAGAAAGGTCCATAAAAGTCCACAAAAAACGTGTCAATATTCCTCCATACTGTTCGTCCAATGTATTCCAAGTGTCCTGAGTGGGTAGCATCCAGAATTTACTCCAAACAAAGTCATTTAGAATTATTTTAGAGCATAAACAGTAGTGTATAGGATTTCCTGAAAGCGCGCACCTGCGAGTTCACGAGTCTACGGAAACCGCGGCAGACCAAACCAGATGAAAGTGCGCATTCAGCTCGGCAAAGAACTCATGCTCTTCCTCAACACTGAAGTCCTCAGACATTTTTCTTTCGTTGTTTCTTTCTTTGCACAGGTAAACAGCACATTTCTTCTTCTACGCTTGCATTATCGGCAGAGCAGACGCTGAATGCGCACTTTCATCTGGTTTGGTCTGCCGGCTTCCGTAGCGTCGTGAACGCGCAGGTGCGCGCTTTCAGGAAATCCTATACACTACTGTTTATGCTCTAAAAACATTCTAAATGACTTCGTTTCGAGTAAATTCTGGATGCTACCCACTCAGGACACTTGGAATACATTGGACGAGCAGTATGGAGGAATATTGACACGTTTTTTGTGGACTTTTATGGACCTTTCTGCCTCGGGCACCATAGACCTCCATTATTTGAATGTCAGCAGACAGCAAGAAGCCTCCCAGATCTCCAGATGCATTTGAGATATCAAAAAAGTACTCCAGAGTGTTGTTCAGCATGGGGGTGAGTAGAAAATGAAGGCTAATCATGTTTTGGGTGTACTATTCCTTTAACCCTCCAGTTTGCATCCATCCAGTCGCTCATCAGTTGTAAATTGCTTTTCTATCCATTTTCACCTCTAGCCCTACATCCATCCTTTTTCAAATTCTTTATTGAATACTCTGCTGATAATCTGTGTGATATGTTGTTTTCATTTAACAATATTAGGACAAAAAAGTCAGAAATTTGGTCAAAGTAGATTGGTATTGGTATTAACCTTGAATTTTATCTGCGTGTTTTTCTACCTGCAGCTCTGTTGAGGCAATACAGAAAGGAGGCTGCATGAGCAGAAGCAGAGCTGAGGAGATCTACCGCTGCCTGCGTTACAGCTGTGACTCCTCCTTCCTCTTGAACACTTCAAAAGCAGGAAAAAACAGCTAGAGCCCCGATGGAGATGAACCGGTTAAAACCTTAAGATTGTTTTATGCACAACTTAAAACCAGCTGAGCTTTACTTCTCTTTTTTTTCTCCAACTTATTTGCCAAGGACATACATATTGAGACTCAAAAGTGCCTTAATTCAACAATAATCTAATAAAAAGGGCTAAAGAAAATTGTTCCTTACATATATATTTCACTGCATTTAAATTGCATTTTGCTTTAAACCAGGTGATTTGTCTGCAATGGATTTTATGTACAGGTTAACCAATTAGATTATACCTTTAAAAGCTGACAGTATTTCCAAAAGGCTAATAGTTTTAAAATTTCTGTTTAAAAGATGCATTAACTGAATTATGGCACTTTAGTCCCTCAATACAGCGATACCAGTTACTGTGTAACTATACCACCTGTGCTGACCTCAGTGAGAGAAGAGCCTCATCTTTTGCACAATAAGTTAAAGCACAGATATCTAAATATTAAAGTTAATGGATAACATTTTATGTTTATCTTTTTCCCAATGCTCACTGGTTTCATTTTTACACCGACAGCAATTCTGTGACAGTATTAGCAACACTATGATCTCAATCAAGACATTCGAAGTATCATTTTGTATCATAATGTGTATATTATTTCTAAATGTACATAGCTGCAAAAGATGGAAATGTTTCTTTAATAAAACCAATTATTAGCTTTTCTATATCCCTGCTTCTGCTGTTATACAAATATCACTAGAGGTCAGTGTCTCCAACAGGTTTGTATGCAGCTTGAATCAACTCCTGCAAATTAACTCTTTAAAAATAATTCTTTATTTTCAGCAGGTTTTTTCAAGGAACTACAGTCAAAAGGCTACTTTAGTGCAAAGTATTGTACACAATCAAGCACAGAACACAAAGCAGCATTTGATATCTAAAGCATCCCAAAAGTATATCAAATCATTTCCACCTATAAAAAAAATGCAAAAGAAATTACAAAACTACAGATTTACAGCTCATACTGAAGCCTTGACAAAAATATGGGGGGGAAAGAGCAGTTTCACATTACGTACATTGTGTTCACTCTGCAATCCAACATCAGCATCATCTACACACAGGTTCTTGTTTCTGCATGTCTGGTTTGTGTCCCCCTGTTCACTTTTCTCCATATTTTAAATTTTATATGCAAACATTCATCGTAAACAGTCAAATAAACCGGTCTTTCAAAAGGGCAGCTACTCCAGTCTGGTGGGTTTATTGGGTGGTGCTGATTGGACAGAGCTGGTCTGATGCTGCACCCTTGTGGACAAAGTGACTCCTGCTGACAAGGAAATAGTTCATTTAGATTTTGAAAATCCCGTTTCCAACAACTTTATTAGTTTAAAGCAAAGCAAAAAAAAAAAATATCCAACTGGTACAAAAAGTCAGACTTCTTTTGCTTCAACCATACATACGGTTATAAGGTGCTTCAGTAAAAACAGACAGGAGGAGGCCGCTTTACTTTTGATTTAAGCTCGGATTAAATACTGGGAAACTACAGAAAGATCTGATCCAAAGAGGTTTATGTAACAGTGTGCTAAGAGAATCTGAACTACATTCAGAGTGAGGTGAGCCTCACACAGCCAAAACACAAAGTAAAGTTCAGTGACCTTAAAAAAAAAAAACAAATAGAATTACCCTTTGGGAACTTTCTGCAATATCAACATCTGTATTTAAGCTGTTATTGCAAGATGCCAAATAATCAAATGATACGATTATTTTGCAATTCAATTACGGTAATCGATTGATTATAATCAGATAGCAAAAGTTTTAAGAGATTTTTTTAACAGATTTAAACCAGGTAAAACTAAAACGTTTCCACTTGTGGATGGAGCACATTAACAGGTGAAAATTATTTTTTTTATCTTGAATGCAAAATATATATATATTTTTTTTTACTATTTTAATATAACTTCTGCTCTAAGTGGGTTTTTATCTGTCAGCTAAAGGCATGATTTATAGTCTCTATACCCGAGTCAACGATTACCCTATTGCTGAGTTATTTGAAATTTAGTTCGATCGATTAATTGTTTCAGCCCTGGATTTAACATGTTTTAGTAAAATTTTACTGCTATAAAAAAAGAACAGAGCTGCACTGATTTGGATGCATAACTGTTACTTTTTTGGCTACCAAGTATTTGAATGCACAATTCAGCATGTGCAACTGCTAAACGGGATACCTGCTAACAGGTACGACTCCATTCTGACCTAAACACTTATTTTTAAACCATACATTTTGGTAATCATCACAGTACAGTTTTCTAATGTTTTGAGAACTTGCTCTTTGTACAAAAGCACGTGTTAAAAAGAATCCATTTATATACAAATGCAGCTTTTAGTAAAAAAAAAAAAAAAAGTTTATTTAAATACCACGGATGGATGGGTCCTCACCTGAACAGGTGGCTCATCAGCAGTCGGCTGTCTATAGTCATTATGAACAGCTAACTGACCACAAACCTGCCTGCCTCTACATGCTGGTGGGCTGCGTCTGCTGCTGCAGAGGCTGCAGCTGCACAGGCTGCGGCTCTGATGTCGGCATGCTGCATTCCTCCTCCCGTCGCATGTACATTAAAAACAGAGTCACTGTGGCGAACGTTGTTGCGTTCACCGGAAACGCACGGAGCAGCGTGGACGTGAGCCCGCGGGTGAAGACCCTGTAGCCCTCCTTCTGCACGCTCTGCCTGACGCAGTCCATGATGCTGCTGTATTTGTTGACGCCCCCGACTCCGTCGGCCTGCAGACGCGACTTGATCACGTCCACCGGATAGGTGGAGAGCCAGGAGGCGATGCCGGACATTCCACCAGCAAAGAGCAGCTTTGGGATCATGTAAGGGTCTTCTGGCTCACACCCCAGTGAACGTGTCAGCACGTCGTACGCCAGGAAGTACACGCCGAAGCCCGGCGTCTCACGCACCAGGGTGGTCACCATGCCGCGGTTGATCCCCCTGAACCCTTCCCTCTTATAGATTCTCACCAGGCAGTCCAGGGAGTTTTTGTACATCTTCTTCTTTGACTTTTTCTCCCCGGTTCCCTGCATCTGCATGCGCGTCTTGGCCAGCTCCATTGGGCAGCAGATTACACACTGGATTGCTCCAGCGGCAGCTCCAGCCAGGAACTGGTTGAGAGGCGTATCGTTGCCAAGGTGCCGCATAGCGTTGCCTTGGACGCCAAAGACTATCGCATTGATGAAAGTCAGGCCCATCATTGGAGAACCGATGCCTTTATACAGACCAAGCATCTGCAGACAGGGAGACAAAGAGTCAGGCTCTAAGTCAAAGTTTTGTTGACATGCAAAGCAAAGTTAAAATTATTTGTTAAAGGTGTTAAGGTACAGTATAGTAGTCCTATTTGCATAAAATAGACATATCGGAAGCGAGTTTCTTAAAGCTCTTATGATGCAGCAGAGGTTTAAATGTTGCAAAAGCCAAAATCGAAAAGTTAGAAATTTGGCTGAACCAAATTCTGCTTAAAAAAAAACAAAAACAAAGGTTCCAACTAACGCACCAGTAAAAAATATTCAGTTTGAGCCCAAACCTGCCAAAAAATAAACAGACTAGCAATTAAAGGTACATTCAATTACTTCACTATATATAGTAAATATAAACATTAAAAAAAGTTGTTTTTTTTAGGATTTTGTTAATAATTTTACATTTTTAACTATTTAAGAAGACATTTATTTAATGGTGCATGGTTGCTGGTGTAAATGTTGATGTAAAAAATATTTTAATTATGAATTATTTCATAATCCAAGCATTTTATAAGTTTCAGTTTAGTTTTTGTTATATTTTCTTCCCTTACACCACTTACCGCAGGCAAAACTAGAAAAAAAATAGGAATAAAAGAATAAAAATAGGAGATAAAATCCAAGATAAGGACACTCAGCTACAGCAACACGATTGGCCCAGTCACTACCCGATCCGTCCTCCGCATACGCGAACAGATATACATCCGGGTGTCCAAAAAAAGAATGTAATTATGGTACTGAAATTAGTTATTTCTATCTTAAACTCACTAGAGAATGCTAATACACATCTTTAAACAAATGCTTTATGACTTGTGTGAGACAATGTTGATGCTTTTCACGTTTTCTTTGTTAAACTGCTTGTCTGACGTCATCATGGGACATGCTCAGAGCAGTCTGGCAAAATATGATTAAACCATGTTAATCTTCATTTTAGTTGTTTCTTTAGATAACGCTCTATATACCAAAAGTTTAAATCCAAAGCCGAAAACGTTAGCCACAGGAAGTAGCGTAGGATCCCATTTCCGGTGCAGATGGGGCAGAGACAACTGATAAAACCGAAAGGATTTTAAGGCATTTATTTTCTCAGGAAATACATTATTAACCTTTAACACATTATATTTTAGTACGTTTACCATTTTTGATGGAGGAAAAATGTCATTTAGGCCTTATTAACAAAATAAAATCAAGGGAGACCCAGATATACATCTAGATATGCAAATGAGAACGTATCGTGCTTCCAGGACGGATCGGGTAGTGACAGACACGACAGCCTTAGCTGCCATCTGCTGGTTTAAGGGGGTACAGTGAGAAAGGAAACAAGAAAATAGACCTTATATTAGTGATTAATGATAAAGATTCAAGCTTAAAATTGGTTTAGTGTTAACTCATTATGTAAACTTTTATTACAGTTTCCAGTTTTTGTAAGGTCTTGTTTTGATTTTATTTTTCCGTTAAAAATATTGATTTGAAATAATTTGATGGTTCGATCAGCTTCTGTATTTTTTTTAAGACGACCTTAAGCTGTTTGACCACTGACCCGACAGCGGCTGACTGTCGGGTAATAAAGCAACATGATTTGCTTAGAGCCGTAGGAGCGCAGCCAGAGACACATTATTATGCAGGGCTGAGAATAAAACTGCTATAAACCAAGCCGAAGCATCTTTCCTGTTTGTTTCGGACCAATGATTGGATCAAAGTTGGGGTGGTCTGGTGCACATCTTTATTTTAGGGTATCATAGTAAAGGAGACTGAAGATTTTCTACAAGGTTTGTGATGGGTGCACCATTTTCCTTCTACTTCACAATCCTGCGTCACATTGAATCACATTTAAATGCATCCAAGTTTCTGTGTGCAATAAAAATTAGGTTTGATCATAAGCTGGAGGACAGTCGAGCTGAAATGCTACAAAAGGTGAATCATAATTCCCCCATATGCCAAAGCAATGAGCCTGAGTGTACGCCACAAATAGCACAAATGTCTGCCGCCTTATTTAGCCCATGCAGGATTGAGGCCTCACTGACCCCGGCTGACAGGGACGCCTCGTTTGCTTGCTGATGCATGTAATCGCAGATAGGACCGTAACCAGACACTCGAAACGATCTGCGCAAGTGAAACCTTCATGTAAAACCCTGGAAGGAGAATTGTAAGCTACACTTACCGACTCCTGGCGTACAATTGACTGAAAGCAGTGAAAAGTCCCACGGTAAAGAGGTTTGTCCACATTTTGTACCTGAAGCCGCACCTGAGAATGACAAGGCGAACGTTAGCGCTGCATAGAGGGATGTTTAAAGCCCAAAAATAAAACCCATAGAGTACAAAGCACATGTGCAGGGAAATAAGCAGACATTCACTTTAACCGTTTGTTTCAGGGTTATAAATGCTTATGGAGTGCAACAGATGGGAGAAGAGTAAAAAAATTAAGAAAAAAAAAAAAAAAGAAGAAAAGAAAAAACGCCTTCTTGGCTTTATGTTTCTATAGCTGAAGACAGGACATTGGGTGAGATAAAGAAAGACCTGGACCATACTTACTAGGTCACATTTCCGTGGAGAGGTTGTTTATTTCTCTCTCTCATCTACAACACAGTGACACTGTAGCTGTTAAAGACAGCCGCCCCGAGCCCCAAGCAGACGCCGGCTCAGGGAGAAATGACATCAAAAGCAAGGTGTAAAGAGAACTACAACCAAAAGCCATTCACCATCTTCGTGTTCCTTTAAACAACCTCAAACTAAGTCACTAACACATTTGCCTTCATATGAAGCTTTCTCACCTTGCCAGGATTTTTGGAACAACAGACCTATTTGACTCTGGATTGCTTAAGAAGCTAGTGGCTTCAAGAAAAAAACTCCAGACTATCAGTGATAGAATGTTAAGGCCTTTTTTTTTAGTTAAAAAATAGAAAGGTTCCATTCGATTAGGGAGTCTTATTCCTTTAAATGAAGCCAGTCTTTCAGAGGCCCTCCTCTCAATAAGCAGTTATTGCTACTTTATGTAAACTTTTCATTTTTTAGCACCTTTCTAGCTAAACGTATTTAATGATAAACATGCAAAGAAAGTTTTTAAGTTCTTAGTTTGTCAAGTATTATCGCCAAAAAATATTAACACTGGGTTTACATAGCTTTATAATTAGAAACATAAGATGTTCTGGCTTAACACTGAAACACCAACTGTGTTAATTAACCCTATTATTGCCTAACAAGATTAAAAGTAAAGAGGAATTAGCAAACACCCACCTTTACGGTATCGAATGGATGCCCGACCAAAACGCCAGCAGCACCTGCAGAAAATGGAAGAGATCGAAATTCAGATTATTTTTCTTTAAAGAAAAAAACGGGTTACATGAAATGCTGGAGTTGGACTCAGAACAGCTAAGCTGAATGTTTTTAGTGAGATAACACTGATCTAACCTTCATTCTGCTGTAAAGGAAACAATGAAAAACACAGAGTAATCCAATGCCCCTACTCGTTTCTGCACACCGCCTGTCAGCTGGCTGAAAGAGGGCTCCTACTTTCTCCCTCAGGCCGACAGAAAACGACCTTGAAATGTTTTGAAAAAATGTCTTGAGAATGCCAAGACAGGGTGTGGAAACTGAGGGAGCAGTGTGTGTAATTATGTAAATCATATGCTGGATAGCAATGGGGTCACGCTTGTAATTGTGGAAAGCACTATCTGAATTAAAATAATGGTATGAAAAGAGCTTTATAAATAAAGTTTTATTGATTGATTTAATGGAGTGGCATCGTTTCAAATTTACAGTCAAAATGTTTGCATATTCTGTCTCACCTGGAGAAACAGGTAACAGAACCGGACTGACAGCACGAAGTAGGGTAAAATATATCAAACACAAGAAACATTCTCTAGTCTAACCGGAGAATTTTGTTGATTGTTATACCATGAAAATTTACTTATTTCCCAATTAGCAGCTGTGCCCCATTTCTTTTCATCTCTGTGAAATTATGAACTTTTGTCCTCTGGCTCTGTTTTGGTACAGAGTCAAACCGTCAGCTGGTCAGCGCACTGAAAGCAGTGACGTCAGTTGTAGTGTGGTTCGTCCTTGATTCGTGTTAACGACCCCAAAACTATTTTACAGCAATTTTGCTGCACTGTGGGTCAAAATAGCTTTTTATTGCTCATTGAAATCAAAAACTCCTTATGTTTTCTAAAAAATAAATTCCTTGAAAATGTAGAGCCATTACTCCATGAATATCAGGCCATTGTGATAAATGCAAATACCTCTGCTGGTTTTAACTTGTTTAAAGTAAACCTTGTGAGTGAGCTACTGACTTTGGGAACATATTTCAAAGAGAGTTAATAAATCCCTGCGTCAATAGAACACATAAGTGGGTCATTTCTGGAAAAACAAGTAAATCATTGTATTCTATGCAGAATACAAATCAGATTTTGGCGTTTTTCCTTTTTCTGTGGCGATCGCTTTCATTCAGAGGGGATCTTTATGATCTTTTTTTTTCTGAAATCAACAATAGGCAGTCAAAACTCCAACATTTGATTCTGAAAACAGCAAATAGTTTCAATGAGGAGGTTTCTTCATCTGAGCATCTCTAATTACAGGAACCACAAGGAACTCAGTGACTCAATTTAAGCTATCGAGAGCTAAAGGTAATTTCACAATAACAGCAGTTCGTAGGAGTTTGCCTTTATTTTTTAATCAGTAAAAATGATCAGAACAAATGTTGATGCAATCAATCATCCAGTCGCCTTTGAGGGTGTAGGGATGACTGCTCCCCAGTGGTGTCAAAAGTACGCACATTTTTTTAGGCAAGTAGAAGTATAGATACTGCAGTTTAAAAACACTCTGGTAAAAGTTGAAGTGTCAACTCGACCTCTTTACTCAAGTAAAAGTGAAAAAGTATGTGCTCCAAAAGCTACTTAAAGTATAAAAGTATAAAGTAACCTTTAAAAAAAAAAAAGCCACTTTATGAATTGAAAGCTAAACTTTTCGACTATTTCGTAATATTCTTTGAGATAGATGGAGAGGTAGGATGAGGAAGGCCTTTTTGGTCTCCATCTCCCAATACGCTCTCACCTGTGTCCGACCTTTCAGACATTTCAACATCTTTTTTCTGAATCCTAGCATGGCATAGACAATACACGTTTGCAGTTTGAAGAACTCCTGCTTGCTTCTGATGATTTCCTTTTGCTAACAAATTAGTGTTTGCATTCTATGACTCATCCAATTATACCAGTTTTCACTAGATGTGGATGGCGCCAGTGATTGGCATTGGATGGCGTTCATGACGTGAAATAAATATTTATAAACATTAAACCGAAGCCAAAATGTAAGGAATAGAAAGTAGAGATACTTGTGTGAAAATGTAATGAGTAGAAGTCAGAAGTAGGAAGAAAAATAAAGTATAGATACCTAGAAAGTTTACTTAAGTACAGTAAAGAAGTATTTGTACTTTGTTACTTCACACCTCTCCTGCTCCCTTAGTAAACACATTTTACTAGATATACTTTATAAATTGATCCAACTCTAATACAAACAATTTAAGTTGGTTTTGGTCCAACTGCTTTTTACCCTCAATTATGAAATAGAGCTGTCTGTCTAGTAAAGCACACAGATGGTTTTTGTTGCAAATTATCATTTTATAAATAGTCCATCCTAAATGAAAATCCACATTATGATCTCACACAAAAACATGTTATGTTATCTAAACACCTTGCCTGTGCCTACTTTTCCACTGTGGATTAGTATTTCAATCAGTGCAGGTGTTGGTATAGTGGATCTCTCAGCCAGATTTCAGATCAATCATGTCATGTAGTGCCACAACAGGTTGAATCTGTTCACCTTCTATCAAAAGCTGTGCATACCCTGTTTGCAAAAGGCCTTGGGGAGGAACAAAACAGCTGACAGGATTCCCAAAGGTTCCTGGTGCTGAGCTTCAATGAAAGTACATTTACTGAGAAAGCAATGAAATCTGTTATGAAGGTCAATTCTGCTCATTTTACTGCTCAAAATAAACTTTTCCATACTTCAAACTTAAATTTCCCAGTTTCCGATATTTTTTACGCTAGGTTACTCTAGGCTTCTTGTTCAAACAGTGTAATCTGAAACCCAAAGTATCTGAGAACCAATTTCTGAGTTAATCCCAGGTCTTTTTAAAGGAAACCTCCCAAAAGATGGTTGCTACTGGTTACAGGACAGATGGAGCACATCATGATAGCCCAGGTTTAACCCGGCAGCAGTGAATCGGAGCAGAAAGATGCCGTTTCCTGATCCAGCTGGAGCAGATCTGAGGAGCACCACTCCCTGGATCTTAGCTGCCGGTTAGAAATCCCCGAGAGCCGCATCCGGGTTTGCTCCCAGCTTCAGTAAACTAGCTCAAACCCCCTTCCTCCCATCCCAGCGTCTTTTTAACCCCACTTCGCTCAGGGTTTAGGTCTGAAACTTGCAGTTTCTTCACCCCCATCAGCTGAATGAGCTTCCTCGGCCCCTGGATGGAAAATAACCACCGAGGCTAATGCTAGCAGCGATGCTAACCCCACACCCGAAACCACTCACCTCCAATGCATCCAGCAGCGAAGTCCAAGGCCATTACTTTAGAAAATGCACAGATTGGAAGATTTACTATTGGTTTAAATTATAGGAATATGTAATGCGCCACGAATTTTTAAAAATTGGCTAGCTCTGAATCAGATTAAAGCTAACTATTTACCCCCCGGGCTCGGTGGATTGATGGGAAGGTAAACAGTTAGTCGTGCTAATAAAAGCCGCTATCACTTGGAGAAGGTTGTCTTATTATTTTCCTCCTATTAGACTCGCTCTTCCTGTTGGACCTTTCTATTTCTGTGAGGCGGAGATTGTAGCGGAAAGCAGGCAGCGCGTGCGTGTCCTTTTTAAGCGGCCCAATCGGATCCCTCGCAGGCAGCTAACTCCCCTAGCGAGTCCCGTCCGCCCCCCGGATCCATTGGCTGCGGCGGATTAAAACAGGGTTATAATTGTCGCTGCTGATCTCATAGCGTCAAGATCAACAGTGTTATCGCTGTGGTCCTCTACAGCTTGCGTTAGCCAGCAAACTATGATAGCAAGGCTCAAACTGTGTGACCCTGAACAACGTGAGCTGCTGGATACTGAGCCAACACCGCGGGCCGAAACATCCAGTGACTCAAACTAAGAAAAAATTCCAATCCACAGGATTATCTGCACAATACAGAAACGTTAAATCATTACAGTAATAAAATAACAAAGCAAACTTCCACAATAAATGAATGGGTTTCCAACATAAGACAAAAAACTGGGTTTTCAATGTATAAAAGTGACACCATGGCCTACACAGCCGCGGGGAACCAAAAACAAAGCCTTGTTTTGGCTCAGTAAACATGCAAATTGAACTGGAAGTTCAGGTCCGCACCTTAAGAATGGGGAGATGTTTGGGTTCTTTGTTACCCTAATACCTGTGTATGCCTCTGAAAGGGGGGGTGATAGTGGGCACGAATCAACTCTATGAGTCCACGCCCTCTGTTTAAGGTTGTTTTTTCTTTCTTACATAAATGGCTTCCTACTTCCCGCTATCCTTGCCTTTAAACGTCTTCAAACTGGAAAACAAAGTCAGGTGGATTGTCTTTTAACTTTTTTGGAATGACTATGACCTGGATGACTGAGAATCTTCATCAGCAAACGATGAATCAAAAAAACATGAGCTAAAATGGAAAAGTCTTACTCTTACCTAAGAAGATGGGTGGTGGATGATCTGCTTGTGTTGGTCCACAGGAACTTGACACCTCTCTGTTCTGAAAAGCTTTATCTACTTAGTTCTTGAGTTTTTCAGTGTTGCCAAAAGTAGTGGATTGCTGCCAATGACTGGTATGGATTGCGGATTTGTAAAGGATTCTTCTTTTTTTTTTTTTTTTACATAATATATAATAAAATTACATTAAACAATCTTTACTTCCCACGTTTCTTTGTAATATATCTAATATCTTAAAAGTTTCTTTAGTTTTCTCAAATTCTTTAAAGCAATTTCTATTTGTTCTAATTTATATTTTTTACATACTAATATCACACATTTTATTGTTTAATTGTCCTCACAATGGCCACATTTTCCTGTACTGTTTTTATATCTAAAAAGTTTACTATCAGTGCCATGTGTCCAAATACTAACCCTGTTACTGAGGTTTTCCTCCTTTCTGTTCCTGCTCCCGTTTCCTGGAAAACCATCTCCATTTACCTTCTCTATTCCATCTTTTCTGCAATTCTTTCTTCAATTGGCATTTGGTAAATACCATCCAAACCTACAGAAGTACCAATACCAGTTCTAATCACAGTGGTATCGCTGTGTTTGATTGGCCAGGAAACTGGTCTGACCTGGACCTCATTGAGAATCTATGGAGAATAACGACGGCTTAGAGACGATCTGCAAAGATGTAGAGAACTGAGGTCTTTTGCCTGATCATTGCTCTGTAGAGCTCAGAGTTTCAAAGTGGTTAAAGACCAAAAATCTGGAATCTGGCAAGATTTTAGCAGTGTTTACAAAGTTTAGCTTCAACAAATTTAAAGAAATCGAAAAGTCAAAGTAAAAAGTACAGTGGAATGCAACATTTGGCCTATATACTGCATCTCATTCTCATTATTGTCCTGAGCTCCCTGCTAAAGTTTCCCTTAAAATCTAGGGCTCAATATATTCTTTATATGCACAGCAGTAAAGTAACTATAGAAATTAGGTACATCTGGGAGAGTTTCTATGTGAAGACCAGAACAACCTGTTATCTGCTAAAGATGTTCAGCAAGATCCAAACAGGTGTTTCTGATTAGTTTCTAGGAATTTTTGCTCCGTTTCTAACAGAGAAAAAAAATGGTATTTTCTAATACCATTTGTGAGCAAGATTTTGTTTTCAAAATTGCCTATCTTTATTACTTCAATACGTTTTGTGTTTGAATGACAGTTTGAATGTGAATTATAACTTTTTATCCAGAAATTCTTGGAAATCCCTTCATTTTATCAGTTCATGAATAAGTGGCCGTCTTGGCCCCTGGAAGAGCTCCAAGTACTTTCTTATTGCAAGAATTGAGGTTTTCTTACGGTGGATTTCTCAGCATTTCCCTGTTGATCAAAGTCACGTTCTGCTCAAACAGGTTTCATCCCTCATGTGCCAGTCATTTAAAACCATTTCTGAACTTCTAATCACTGATGCTCACTTTATTGTAACTTAGTGGAAAAAGTACATGCTGTACATAAACACTTTGCTCTGGGAACAGTGCTACATTTCAAAGTATCCTCAACCCCCTCTTTTAATTTAAAAAATACAGTTTTCTAATAACAAAATCCTTTATTAAGAGGAGATGCAATTAGAACCAACCAAGTCCTGAATAAAAAATGATTATTCCCCTTTACCAAAATAAGAGTTAACCAAATTCTTTAAAAATCTACGTAGGTTAAATTTCATCAGCAGCGAGCAGATTTTTTCCTGCCTGTAGAATCAGCCCATTAAAGGACAAATGAAAAGCCTTTAGAAGCCAAGGTAACCCAAAATTAAATACAAATTTATGCTTGCTGTAGAATTAGGTATGACCAAAATGTATTAATTAAAATATGATAAAACAAAGTTTTAAACATGTTTATTATATTTGAGTTTAACTGAACCTGCTGGACTACAGCAATTAGGCAAAGAAAGATTTAAGCAGACAGCAGCTCATCATGTCGCAATCTACACAAATCTATGAACAGATGGAAACCAAAAAAACTGACATTAACCCATCTAGAAGGAGGTTTAAAAAGCCATTTCTAAGGTGTGGGATGATTGTGAACCACAGAGCTGAACAGTGGCCATCCTATCAAAACGTCCCAAAGGAAGCATCAACAAATCATCCAACTGCAGTTCAGAAAAGAGCAACCTATCTACATTAAGACACACAGGTGTTAGAATGAGCTGAGCTTCCCATAGTCTAAATCTTTTGCTTGAATCCTGCTCTTAGCCTGGAGATCCTGATGGATGTTTTAGTATCTTAAAAAAGTAAAAAAAAAAATAAAAAAAAAACACAATCCACTGGACTTGTTTTCCAAGTTTCCCACGCAGGAAGCATTTTCAATTCAAAATGTCAGAATTAGCATTGAGTTTGAAGCTTTATGTAGTAGCCAAAAAACTTGTTTTGGCTTAGAAAACATGCAAATTGAACCACCCCTTAGGAATGGGGAGTCCTTTTGGGTTTTTTTTTAGCCTGTAATAGTCAGTACTGTTCTATGCCTCTGAAAGGGGGGTCTTTAGGGGCAATTGTTTGGCTTGGCTGTCCAGGCGAGATGTTTTGTCCCCTGCATAGGGGTGGGGAGTTGAAATGATAGTGGGAAGGAATCAACTCTATGGCTGCATTGTAGTTTTTGACAGCTTAAAATCTGAGTCCACCCCATATGTTTAAGGTTGGTTTTTCTTTCTTAACATAAATGGCTTCCTTCACACCCCTTTCAAAGCAAAATGTGAACATTTGTCCAAAATGTGAACATTCTGGTCCTAGAATGAGCGTCCCTTGTGCTTAAGGTGCATGTGGACAGCAGAGTCCTAAGCAGAGGAGGTGGCGCCTCTGTGTTGAGCCATGCGTCTGTGGAGAGGTTGTTTGGTTTCTCCAATATAATGATCAGAGCATTCCTCACTGCATTGAACTCCAGACACCACTCCGCTCATATTTAGTCTTGGGGTTTTGGGGATGTCTGAGAAACTTAACCAGCAGATGTTTTAGCATCATTTTATCATCCTAACTTTAACCTCACATTGACCAAAAACACAGCAGCAATTCTTACCTTTTGAATTCCTGAAAAAAGTAAAACCAAATGCAAGTTTTGGAGTAGAAAATTCCAAGCCTGTACTCCAATCAAATTGAAATGATGTGGCATTATTTCATATAGGCTGTTTATACCAGAGAACCTTCCAATGTGGGTCAGGTAAATCAGATTTTCAAAGAAGGCTGGGTAGAAACTGCTCTATAGCGATGTGAGTAATGGTAGTCATCTCCTTCTAAAAGCAGTACGAGTTTTTAGGTTTCCTTTTTCTTCCAAAATGGGCTCAGCAATGAACCCATTATTAAAAAAAGTTATCTTTTAATATTTCTAGTAAAATGTATTTGGTGATATTTGTTTGATGATCTAAAACATTGGCTTCCATAATAAATATTCAATACATACTGATTTTATTCATAAATATCTTATTTTAAGTTTAAAAAAAACAAAATAAAGTTTTGAACATATGAGCTTAGCTTTATATGCACCATGTGCAGTGATCATTTGAAAATAACTCTCTTTCCTCAGACCAGCTCTGTCTGATGTAGTTCACTTAAGCAAAACACAGGTAATATGTAACAACCATTAACTCAAGTTTTTACCCTTAAAAATTAACATCCTCTACAGAAAGAACTTTGTCTGACATTTCTAACAGAAACCAGTTAGAAAATAGAACAGGGTCAATCCAAAAGGTTATGGTTAGCATGTTTTTAGCATTGCTAAATCGGCTCTCATTCTATGTTTGGGAACAATTGTTCTGCTGGAACCATCAGACCAAAACTGTTTCTCTGATTAACATCAGTAGAGATATAACAAATTTAAACCTATATTCAATATTATTACTGTTGCTACTACCAGCATTTGATGACTGTATCAAATATATTTCCTCTCTTTGGACACTATGAAAAATAATGATCAAACAGCAGACATTTCTTCTCTACAGCCAACCACCAATAATGAATTGGTCACATGACCAATCCCTATCTCACTAAATATAGGAGAAGAAGGGATCAAAATACATGGTGGTTAATAATCGGCGACGCAGTGGGCAGCGCTGCTGTCTTGCAGCAGGAAGGTTCTGGGTTCGATTCCTGGCCTGGGGTCTTTCTGCATGGAGTTTGCATGTTCTCCCTGTGCATGCGTGGATTCTCTTGCTTCCTCCAACAGTCCAAAAACATGATTGTTGGGTTAATTTGCTTCTCTACATTGTCCTTAGATATGAGTGTGTGTGTGTACTCTGCCTCTTGCTCATAGACTGCCAAGATAGGAACTGGCCCCACCATGACTCTGACAAGCACTAAGCAGTAGAAGATGGAGTGATGGAATATCAGCCTACTTTTAATTCAGGGACATGTTAAAAAAATGAGTCACCATGCTCATAGTGAAGCCAAACGAATTCTGGATAGAAGTTCTATTTGCTTATAAGGAAAAGATTCAGCTCTAGGGTCACAAGGATGATATGTATGTTTGCAATAATTAAAGTGAAGCATTCCACTCAAGCAGAGTGGTGGTAGCGGTATACTGAGGGTTTCTCCGGCTGCTAACTGTACCGGTACCTGGAGTAACTACAAATTCTTTACCTTCAGCTCTGATTAGCTTTGGTTCTGGTCTGCGGTGATGCTCAGGGTACTAATGTATTCCATTTGTCCTCATTCTACTGGAACACCCCTAAAAGTAGGAATATTTAAGAAGTCTTAACAACAGCAGTTACCCTTTTCTACTTTATCTGTAACAGTTCATTATTTATGTAGCATTATGTAAATTGCCTGCATAATACTTTTACATTATTAATTGCTGTTGATATGAAAAGAGCAACACTTTTAACTGTGTTTTTGACATTTTTATGGCTGTAATAGTGGCTATAGTGGCCGTGGAGAATAGGAAGGTCTAAAACGGGTGTCAAAGTAGTTCCAGAAAGGGCCGTGTGGCTGCAGGTTTTCTTTCCAACCCACTAGACTCCTAGCCTTGTGAGACCATCCTGATCTCGCGAGCTTTAAAGGTTTCACTCGCAAATCAGTCTGGAGACTCTCCGGAATTATTCTTTCCAGATTGAAATACAGGCAGTAGGCGGGACCAATTGAAGCAGTTTTTTTCACAGGTTACATATCACATGTACTGCTGTCTGGGCATAGGGACAGTTTTAGCCAATATGACAAAAAAGTGATTTTTAAAAACTTACAGACTTCAGCTTTAAATACCCTGATGTGGTTTTTTGTTTTTACAATCCATGTAGATATAAACAAGAATTCTATGTGATCTTTTTTTTTTTTTATTGTTTTTGCAAAATTTCTTATTTATAAATGTTAATTTTCTGGTAAAAGGCTCCAAATTAAACTCTACTTGCTTAAATTTTCACAATACAAAGAATCAATACATTCCTCTTCAAACTCCAAAGCTTTAAGGACTGTTGATGCTATAAACCTTTTTAAGTGTTAGTTTTTTTTTTATTTGCCCATTTATAATTTGGTTTTGATAACCCCTGGCATGAGGGTTTCTAACTTAAACTTAAAAAATAAAATAAAACTAGGAAGGCCTAAAAGCATGAAACTAGAACACAATTACTTCAAGTTCAGAGTAGAATGGATCACACTAGAGCTACTTCAATTCTCTTCAAGAGGCAAAAACTGAAATAAGTGAGTGGTACAACAGGGCAATCAACCCAAACACACATACAAAAAACTAGGCTTCAAATGATAAAGTAAGTTAGTGCTGAGCTTTTGGAAAAGCTCTAACCTTAAATTTGAAGTATGTAGAGATTTTACCCACCAAATTATAGAAATACAACCATTTCATCAATGAATTTCAGCTAATGTGTATAATGTTGAATCTGTGAGGATGAGTGAAAAATTGCATTTTTAAAGTTGGCATCCAATTATTTTTTTTAGTTTTTCCAACGCATTTAAATTGTTTGCTGAAAAGCTCAAAACTTCATTGTTCCGTTTCTGAAAAATGCCCCAAATTGGAATATTGCTGGGAATAGAAATGCAGCCACTGACACATTGTTTATTGCCTAAAACTCTTCTGCTATGAATGTGTGATTATAACACCTCTAATTTTTACAATCATATAAAAACAAGACTACAACATCTCTTGGTAAAAGGAATTTTTCCACAGAAGACCTCCGAAGCAGATGAGTTTTCTTTTGTTCGTCTTTAAGCAGCTTTTAGATTACATGCCTCTTACTTTGTAGAGAGCTCCAGATGAGGAACACAAACGTGCATTTGATTCCACATGAACATTGCCATGCTTATTAAGAACACAATCCTTCCAATGTTTCCACCCATTACAGATTACTTTAAATGAAAAATAGTAGAGTACAATAAACATGGATCTGTGGCGCTCCACCGAGCTACAAGTTAAAATTTAAAGGTCTGGGTGTCATGAATTGCTTCACTGTTTCATCTGTGACTTGTTTGCGTCTCTCTTGATGCTGGGCAATCATCGGCTGCAGAGTCTCAATCAATTTTTTCTTCAGTTCGCCTGTTAGCAGAGCTCCACTGGTGTAGTCCTGGGAGAGACAATATCAAATGAGTGGAATTAGATGGAAGATGAGAAGAGACGGATAACTGAAGGTCTGGGTGTTTGTCATCTTCCTCACCTGTCGGATTTTCTCCAGCTCTTCATCATCCTCAAGGAAGAAAGTCAAATACATGAATGAGACGTCTACATCTGCGTTCCCGCCGTACTTCCTGTGCTCTTCTACAGTGTCCTTCCCTCCGGAAAAAGCGTGTTTGTTAATCTGTCAGAAAGAAGAACAGGTGAGGGAAGTTTGCCAAAAATGAACACAGAGCGCTTACTTTCCAAGAGGGGACCGATGCGGTTAAAGCACCTTGTTCTTGATCTGCTTCGGTGTGTCCGTCAGGAATATGGAGGAGTTGGCATCGCTGGCGCTCATTTTCGTCTGCGCCCCCTGCAGGGCAGGGAAGAAGGTGGAGTGCAGCAGTGCTGGCTTTGGATAACCGATCCTTGGAGCGACATCACGGGTCATCCTGAAATAGGGGTCCTGTAGGAGGGATAGGAAAGCAATTAGACAAGTTATTTGTATCATGGAAATATATTTGTGAGCGTTGCTGATAGATGTTGGAATCCTGACCTGATCAATGGCACAAGGAATGAGACACTGTATGCCTTTTCTGCTTCCAAAGATATGAGGGAAGGAGTTACTGAAGGAGGGTGCGGCCTGGATTGCTGGAAAACTGATCTTCCCTGTATGGAGAAGAAAACATTACAATGTTCTTATTATTTTAGAGTGGAAGAAGAAAATGTAAAAAATGATTTATTTATATCCAACTCCACACTGAGTCTTTCATCTAGAGATTCTATTGCCAAAAGCATTTCCTCACCCATCATAATTACTGGAATTGGGTGTTTCAATCGCTTTCATGGCCACAGGTTTATAAAATAAATCACCTAGGCATGCAGACTGTTCCAGACTTGTGAAAGAATGGGGCTCTATCAGGAGCTCAGTGAAATCCAGCCTGTAGCTGTGACAGGATGCCATCCGTGCAGCAAATGCATCATCATTTCCTCCTAAACATTCAACCGTCAGCTGTATAAGAAAACGGAGGCATTTGGGAACGACAGCCACTCAGCCATGAGGTGGTAGACCAGGCAAACCGACGGGGCGGGGTCAGTGAATGCTGAAGGCGTGGTGTAAAGAGGTTGCCAACTTTCTGCAGGGTCAATTACTTAACACCTTCAAACACCATATGGCTTTCAGATTAGCTCTAGAACAGAGAGCTTTATGAAATGGCTTTCCATGTCCCAGCAGCTGCTTCCAAGCGGTACATCACCAGGTGTAATACAAGTTATTGAATGCAGAGAACTAAAGCACGCCGACACTGGACTGCAGAGCAGTAGAGACACTTTCTCTGGAGCGTCACTCTTCTTCGTCTAGAAATCTGATAGACGAGTCTGGGTTTGTCGGTTGCCAGGAGAACGGGTCCTTATCTGACTGCTTTGTGCCAAGGGTGAAGTTGGTTGGAGGAGGGATTAATGTGTGGAATTGGCCTCTGAGTTCCAGTGAAGGGATCTCTGAATGCTACAGCATACCAAGATTTTTGTGGAATTCGATGCTCCCAACAATGTAGGAACAGTTTGGAGCTGTTCCTCTTCCAACATGACTGCACCAGAGCACAAAGCAAGGCCTATAAAGACAGAGTCTGGCATGGATCACCTTCACTGGCCTGTACAGACTGCTGACCTTAACCCCACAGAACACTTTAAGGATGAATGAGAGTGGAGACTGAACGCTAGAACCTCTCATCCTACACCAGTTTAAGACCTCATAAGTGGCCTTCAGGGGGAATGGTAAAAAATGTCCATAAACAATCCTAAACCTTATAGACAGCCTTCCCAGAAGAGTTTAAGCTGTTCTGGCAGCAAAGGTTGGACAGACGTCATATTGAACCCCTATGGATTAGGAATGGGATGTCACTGAAACTCATATGTGAGCAAAAGCAATACCTTTGGCAATATATTCATACATTTTTCTAATGACCACAGTACAGTATTTAAACACATAAATCATCTTTCTTAAACTGTATTGAAAATCCAGATGCTGTGATTATTTAGTTTCCTATTAAAGTGATTAGATTAATAAATATTTACAGCAGCCTTGCTACAGGTGTTTAACAAAAATAGAATCAAATTTTTGTCAGCCCTTTGCCGCCGAGCGAAAACATTGTAAATGCTTGCATTGATTATAATTGTTTTGTATTAGCAGCTTGGTGGACCATGTGTCAATTACTGTAGAGGTGATCTACAAAAACAATGTTAAGAGGAGCAAACTAGTTTGTTTCGGCCAAATCAAAAAGAGCAGCTTGTTTGTTGTACTGGCCGTTGGGAGAGCAGCTGTGGACAGCTGGAGACAGGCACCAGCACCGCTTGTGACCCCGCTTGGGATAAGCGTGACAGAAGATAAATGGAAAACCTGAAGCTCTTGTTTTTTTTCCCCTCAGCTGTCCCCAATTTTTGTGTTTTCAGTTCCTTACCGATGCAGTCGCTGTCCGTAAAGCCAAAGATTCCTTTGACCTGGTTAAATGTCACATGCTTCTGGATCTTCACCACATTTCGGTAGAATTCAGGGCAGGCACTGTGGAATGGAACGTAAAAGAAAAAACACTGAAAAACAAACGACGCAACAAGTAGCTCTGCTCTGTTGACAGTTTTCTCTTTTCAACCTAAAGCCTCCTGTCTTGTTTTACCCCATGTAGTCCAGGTCAGAGAAGATAAATGTCTTGTTAAGGTCAAAGCCACAGGCTATAATATCCTTGGCGTTCTCTATGGCAAAGCGGTGGCATTCTTCAACAGTCAGGTCCTTCCAAAGGTACTTCTCGTCGTCAGTCAGCTGGATCACCAGGGGGATGTCGAAAACGTCCTGAAGCCATCTGCACTCAAAGGAAAATATCCACTTCTTACTTTGAAGGAATGTTCTTCATTCAAGATCACAGTCGTATAAAATTCAAACTTCAGTGTAATTAAACTGAAATTACGCTTAAACTCACTTAGTGAAGATAAACGGGATGAGGTGACCGACATGCATGGCCTCTGAGGACGGGCCTCTGCCGGTGTACAGGTAGAAGGACTTGTGCTTCTCATATGCATCAAGTACCTGATGCATATCTCTGCAGAGCAAAGGGGAAACATTCAGTTTATTCCTCCACTGCTCTAACTTAGCCTACAAGCTGAATTCTCACCCTATTTATGCAATAAAACACTAGAATTCATCTTATAGTTTAAGAGAGCACATTATAGCTGTAAGGAAAGCAAGAGGTATCGACCCAAATAAACACAGCAGCGTCCTTCTGACAGAAGGATCTGCTTTGTCAGATATGAGTCTTTCTATGAAAGAAGAGCAGCAACAGCTTTAAAAGCGCCTGCTGTTCAGTAACAAAAGTTTTAGTCGTTACCAAAATTGGCTCAAAACAAACTTTGTTAGGCTGGACACAGACGTTGCTTCACCCAATCAGCTTAGAACGTTCTGCCTAATGTTCATCATTTTTGCAGAACAGATCTGATGGCAGTAGTCCCACATTATTAATGTGTGGAACTAACCCAGAGTTCTACACATTATCAGTCTGCTGGTATAAGCTACCATCAAATTATTTTGCTCTTATGAATTTATCAATAAATCACTTAAACTATTACATTTTGCAAAGAGGAAAAGAGGCAGGTATATGTATTTACTGGGATTGAGAGATTAATGGTGATTTAGTAATTTATTAATCATTAGCTGGAGTATAGAGACTAGCTGAAAGAGCTAGCCACTTAAAATATATCAATATTTTGCATTTAAGACGAAAAATTGTTTGTGGAGATGTTCTATCTGGAACTCCCTAATTTGCAGCTTTAGCTTTGCTTGGTTTGATTCTCATGTCAAATCTTCTTTTATGGACCGTTTGTAATTGAATTTTAATCAAGAAATCTAAAAAAAGCATCAAAAGATTAATCTATTAGCAAAATAATTGCTAGTTGCAGCTTTAGTGTTAACATTTATTTATTTTCAGGGTTCGAAGCAGGATTGTTTATTCGTGGAGCAGTGGGGGGCCTAGTGATTTATTTTGATTATTATTCTATTTCCTACACTCATATTGTCCTTTTTTTGTAATTAAGCCCACTCCTATTTCGTTGGATCTTTCATAAATGTCCGGAGGTGACGTTCATAACTCCCCTTAATATGCAAACGATTAGACTGACTGCCGTGGCTGTGATTCACCACAGCCACGGCATGCACCGGTGCAGCAGTGATGCTGCATTTTATTGGCCAGAAACAAACAATATGAAAAACACTGTGACCCTCAACTGGTTCAGCCTGACAGACCAGATGTTTGGTCTGGACACTCCACCCCGTCCTTCAGTGGTTGCCCTTTTGTTCATGTCTTTACAAGCTTAAGGTGAGCATGAGGTGATGGATGTCATGTTTTGTAGCACTTCTCTCATGCAAATTTTTAAATAATGAAGTAAGAATGCTTAAAAACTAAATTTCTAAGGCTGTTGAGCAACATTTTTATGATTTCAATGAAATTCTGTTCGAACAAAACAAGTGCTTGTGCTGAAATGTGGCCAAGAGAACGCTTTGGGAGGGAGCCCATAATTCAGTCAAAGGACCATCAGGCAAAAAATATAAATAAATAAAACAGGCCCATCGGCCTAAATTTCAGGGACGGGTGAGAAATTTCAGAGTGGTGACCCATTAGTCTGAAATGCATTGAAGAAAACCCTGACAATATTTCATTATATCAAATCTAGTGTAACCAAATGCCTGCAGAAGTGACGGGTGAAAGGTGAAGATCTTACATGTTTATGAGATGGTGCATCAAAACTAACAAACTGACCCAGAGGAGGAACAATCAGAGAAACAGAAAAGGGGATTTTAGGGATTATTGAAGGGCTGTTCAGATGTTAATAGGACTATTAAAGCAATTAGTCATGCGGACCACCATGCTGCCCCTTTATGGATCTCTTTGACATAAAGCCAAAGAGAGCCATTGTTAATGAAAAGCTCTGTATAGTCCTGATTTAGTTTCTTACAAAGTAAAAGGCACATAAATGTCACCTGAGGTCAAAATTATTAATTTTTTGGCCCTTATACAAAATGCTATACTTGTTATAGATCTACCAAGTACCTCACACTGAACATACCCTCCACATATTGAGACGTGGTGGTGGCAGTGTCATGCTAATAGCTGATGTGGAGAGGCTTATCAGAGTTGATGGGAATGAGTGGAGCTGAATACTGAAAGGAAATCTGTTGCAAATGATTCATCTTCTATCAATACAACCAAATTAAGGCATGTTCTTGTTCTAGAATGGCGCAGAAAAGTCCAGATCTAAACGATATAAAGAATCTGATACTTGAAATGTTCTTCTTCCACCCTGATCTAAATATTTTGCAACAAAAAAAGAGGGGAAATATTCTCTAGATTAACCAGGTTGATAGAGACACACCCTTAATGACTTGCAGCTGTGATAGACGGTCGTTATACAAAGTATCATCACAAAGGTGTTGAATTCAAATGTGGATCACATCTCTTCACATTTTAATTTTAAAAGCATGCAAATAACCCATGTGCTGATTTCCTAACCCTTCACAGCTATGCACTTCTTTAAGATGGTCCGTCACATCTAATTTACATAGCTCTGTTTGAAGTATTTGGGTAAAAAATACTTAAAATGTGAAAATTTTGCTTCTTTGTTGATTTAATGAGAAGGTGTATAATAGAACAGATTGATATCTCTACTGGATGTTTGTAAGCAATAATTAACTAGAAGATGGTATAAAGCTGAGACACTAAGTCTGAATTTTTGGACAATAAAAACAAAAATAGCTGTAATGATTAATCTAACTGCTCAGAACTTATTCATTGATGATGAGTGAGAGAGGAAGACCAGAAACCTGTGTGAGAAGAAAACCCCTCTTCTTAGGAAGCGATGGGGCTTCTGTCCACAAACTTCTTCTATTCTATCCACCAGCTCCTTGTCGATCTTGCTGCTCCCAAACCTCACTAAAAAGAGAAAATATTATTAATCCATCCATCATGATGTACTACTCCTCCAAAAGCAAGACTCCTACCTATTAATTTGTCATAATCAACTCCCTTGGCATTTGTGGTTGAAACGTTCCAAGGGTCGACTGTGTCCTCCTCACTGACGCCATCTGCTGCGGGCCCATTGTTCGCCACAGCCACGTCTTCTGATGGTGGGCATCGTGCTTTGTAGTCCTGACCCGTCATCTTTTTGTAGTCCATTTTCAGCATCAGCAGCTGCTGGACGGCGGCATCAATTTCAGCCTGAAGGAGCAAACACAGCGATTAAAACAATTCATTGGAGAAAACAAACAAAAGGAAACAATAAACAGAATGAAAAGATCCATACAGATAAAGTGATTCTAAAAGAAATGATCAGGAAAATAACAAGACTGAGATAAGCAGCTGAAATGATTTATTTACACCGATTTATTTTCTTTAGAAAAGAAGAAAACCCAAATAAGTTTTTATTTCAAGGCAGAAAACCACATCAGTTTTGTGAAATACTGTATTCTTCTAAAAATTCACGACTTGGTCTTGAAACAAGGTATTGCACACATATACAGATGCTTTGCTAACCCAGGTTAGGTTTTTGTGTTTCATTGTATTATTTTATTTTTAATGAGCTAGGGGTGTGCAATGATTTTCAATGTGCAAATTTACAAAGAGGCATTTAATTTGAAAATAAAAAATATTTCTGTTGTTTTGGGGGTTACAACTTTTCTCATGTTTCAGTATTAATTGCGATTAACTAAATCGCTCCCTGGTTTCCTTTATAGAAAAAAGCTGAAACTGCCCTTATGTTTTACCAGAATAAACAATGTTAGCATCCTCTGAAAGTTCTCTGTAGTTCCCTTTGTTTTGATATACAACTCTTTCGGAAATTTAGCTACCATACCTAAGGCTAGTTTAGGAAATCTGAATTTAATCTACCAAATTACTCACTTTCTCAGCTTTGGCTGATTTCAATGATCTGACTTTGTCCCCCTGTGCACCGAGTCTCTCATACAGTTCCATTGGAGTGCTGGCTCCTTCTCCGTCTCCTTGGCAGTCTGTCATCTCTCCGTCTGTCACCCTGACACAAAGGACTTAAATAAAACAGTCACGCCAGAGAAGGTTCTATGTGTCTTTAAAAATTAGATCTAACTAATTTAAATCTCTAACTTCCTTATATTCCCTCCTCCTGCTGCAAAGAAGTCTGTGGAGCTAGCTTGGTAAACCTGGCTAATGGCTACTGATGTTCCCGATTAAATTAAATACATCAACAGCAAAGTGTTTCCTTAGCAACACAATTACTGAGCTAAAGGAGGGTAATAATAAAAGGATGCCCGTTTATTTTCTCTCCCTTCTTTCATACCGTTATGCTGACAGCTCCCTTATTCAACTTGCATCAGCCTGTAAAGAACCGGTGTCCGTCACTAGTTCTTCCCCATCCACACAAACCTGTCTTAAAAGGTTCCGCATATTCACACTAGTCACACACGCATATTCACACAACGCCAAGAAACTTCGTTTGAATCTCTTTAAATTTTCAATTTTAATAAATTCGATATTAAATATATGCCAATCATAAATAATGACATTTTTGAACAAATTTAAATCGGATCAGTAAGATGTCTCGTCAACTTCTGGTTCCTATACCTTGATTTTCAAAATAAGAGCTTTTCAACGGAAAACACATTACGTTCACCATACAAGACGAAATTATGCTTTTATTTTGAAACACTGCTCTCGCTAAAATGATTTTGCGGGATGTTAAAACAAAAACAAACCTCGTTAACGCCGAAGAAGTGAATCGAAGACTTTTCCAAACTACAGGTAGAACAACAAAGTTCCAAATTATTGATTCACATAATTTGTTTTATAATTAAATCGTTAAATTAAGAAGAGCTGTCATTGTCAGCTAATCTGCTAGCTGTGGTCGAACTGCAGATTCGTTGAGACAGCAGATATAACTGTAAACATGTAAACTGTAAACATAATGTTTTATCGTGATAAAGCAGGAGAATGAAGAATGAAGGAACCAAACTGGGGCTGCCTAATAAACTTTTACGATGTGAACTAATAACAGCTGCTCTCAGCAAAATGCAGTTACACTAAAATCAACATTCAGTGCCTTGGAAAGGTATTTATAAAAAAAATATATATATTACTGTCCCTTTGCAGCTACATATTTAAATGCATTTAACAGGGATTTTATGAGACAGATACGGAAGAGGATAAGGGCCACTGAAAACATTAAAAAAGTTAACTGATCTTAAAATTTTATTTCCGTATAATATGACAAAAATTTCAGAATTCTGACTAATCTTAGAATTCTTACTGTTTTCTGACAGCTAACAAACATGTTAGCATTAAGACGTAGCCATGTCTGTTTTAGAGACTACCTATCTTGTTTTAATCACCTTACTCTCTTCCATTAATGATATAGCATCACCGGGGACCCCTTGGGCACGTACAAAGTTGCCTAATTCCATCATTTTCCACCAGTGTGTTTCTGGCCCTCTCAAACAACTCACATATTTGTCATTGGATCTAAGTGCTCCCACATTTGGTGCCCATCTACATTAATATCCAAAATTCTGAGTCAGAATCTTGAGAAAAAAGTCAGAATTCTGAGAAAAAAGTCAGAATTCTGAAGAAAAAAAAAGACGCAGGATTCTGAGATTAAAGTCAGAATTTTGAGATTAAAGTCAGAATTGTGTAAAAACTGTAAAAAAATCAGCTTAACAGGCTTTAGAATTAGATATTATTAACTTAATTATTCCTTTAAGCAAAAGTGAAGATAAATCTATAATTCAGAATAAAATCTGTAAGGTTTTGCAGGAACATTGGGATTATCATGACACTGGTAGAGATCTATATAAAATTCAAAAGACTGTGGGGGGTCATAGCTTTACAAACGGAAGGTGTAAAGAAGAGGTAATCATATCTCGCCTTAGAATTGGTCATACTGGACTTAATAGTTCTCTTTTAAAAATAGGGAACCATGACTTAGGGACTTGTAATTACGGTAATCAGATGGAAACAGTGGAACATCTATTATGCCAATGTAAATATTCACAATAACGTCAGCATTTAAAGTCAACACTAAAACACTACTTCAATGATGAACCTTTTAGGGAGTAAATCTAATTCTGCTAGAAATCAGTCAATTCGATTTTTAAAAAACACTGGATTATTTAATCGTATTTAAAGTAAGAATATGCGGTAGGTGTGTGTATGGATGTGCATATACACACATATTCATTTATTTGTGAGTTTGTATGGATATTGATAGATAATATGCAGATTCATGCATACCACTGAGGTATGAATTAATAACTTACCTCTGACATCATTCATAACCACAATCCAACATAAAAGATTAAAAGGACAAAACAAGAAGCCTGTTAAGGAGGCGTCAGGTCAGACTCCACTCCTCCCTTCAACAGGCATTCTAAAGAAGGAGCTAAAGCTTTGAATTTCCATTCAGCAGCAAGGAAACCCAAATGATTTAAAGATATTCCGGACGGAAAATGTGTAGAAATCCCTGCTGAAATGTGCGAAAACCTGGTGAACAGCAACAGAAACTGTGTTATTGTCATATTTGCTGATACATGTAACCCTAACAACTGATTTAAAATTTGTATGTGATATATTTATATACATTTTCTATTGCTGATTTTTTTCTTTACACAAAAAAAATGAATGAAACTACAATACATTTTAAAGGCTGTGCCTGATAAAAAATGATCAGACTGAAAAAAATCAACAAGAGATCAAATGTTTATTTCCTCTGAAATAAACATAAAATGAAACATGGTTTAAAATATTTTTTCTTAAAAGTAAAAATCTAAAGGCTGTGGCATGCATGCCCATCTTCCCCTTAAAATGTGTCCCCAGCTTTCATTATCTCTGCTGAACTAAGCCTTCCTTCCCTATAAATGCTGCCCTCCCTGTCTTGGTAGGTTTGCTGTTGGTCTATCCTCTTTTTTTTCTTTTTGGAGCGGTCGACTGAGTGTATGACTGTATTCACACTGAGATTAAATTGTAAATATAGTTCTGTTTAACAAAACGGTTCCACTGAATTTGACTTTAAGTATTAAAATAAGGGTTTAAAAATCCATTTGAATGTAACATTTTTTATTACAGTGTTACATTCATATGCATTTTATAGTTTACCTTTAAAGTATAGTGATACACTTTATTTCTAATGTGTGTCACTATACTTTCACTCAGGATTGTGCACTGTTTTATGTTTTTGTATTTAATACCCTAAGAAATTACAGTACATTTGGAGAACAGGATGGCATGGAGGGCTGGATTATATAGATTATTAGGGACTAGAGATGGGTATTTTCGCCAAAGTCCTGAATCAATTTGATTTTGATTCATACAGTTCTAAATCGATTAATTTCGATTCGATCTGTTTTTGCAATAATGGAAGTGGTTCAACTGTGTTTCAAAATACTCATGTATTTTATTTTGTTCCTGTCATATTAAACAAAAAGTGCAAACTTGTAAATCGGACAGTTTAAACTTGAGATGTGAACAAAACTGTCTCAAAAGTGCAAACTTGTTTGTGAAAAGTGAAAAAGGGAAGCCTCACTTGAGCAAGCAGACGTGACACAGCGGTTACACAGCAGACATACATTTGCTGCATTATCTCCACTGTACAAACCATATGTGCAGCGTTGTCTGTAACAACTACAGGGTGTTTGCTGGTCAGCCCACATTTGTTAATGTCTTCAGTTTTGTCAGCAGCTGTCTGGCTTGAAGTCATCTTGAGAGCATCTTTCCTGCTGATTTGAATGTGAACGTCACGCGCGTCACTTTAAAACGAATCAATCTCTTTTCCTAGACATTGATTTTGCAAAAATGTAAAGTATTCGATTACCTAGCCCTATTAGGGACTGTCTTCAGTCTAGGAGAGTAAAACATGAAGGCCTCATTTTCATTTATTTATTTTTTAACTTTATTGATCTCACATTGAAGAAATTTACCTCTGAATTTAATCCATCCCCTTGGGGAGCAGTGGGCTGCCATTGTACGGCGCCCAGGAAACAGCGGTGGGTTAAGGGTCTTTGCACAGGAACCCAGAGTGGAGGCTGTGGGCATCGAGCCGGGATCAGAACACAAGCACACAGCTCTAACCCACTAGACCAACACTAACTATAGGTATAATTAGAGACACCAAAGTAATTTTTGTTAAAAAGTCTTAAATGCGTACCCTAACTTTACAAATTTCTACACTTGCAGCTCAGTCTTGTTGCATGCAAGATATTTATGATTAAACTAGGATGCCCTAATGGGTTAGTATAGTTTTTTCTTTGTTTTAATCTTTCTGATTGCTCTCCTTGTTGTTCAGCTTAATGTTTTCAGTGTTTAGCATAAGAACACCATATAACCAGAGGTATGATATTTCAGATTTGATTTGTAAACAAGGAAGAATTTTGCCCCAGCGGATGAGTGAAAACAAAGAAAAGAAAGTCCAAGATGTGAAAATGTGCAAAGAAAAAGAAGGATAAAAGACAAGTTGTGCTTTTAATTGAGTATAAACAGCAGAGCTCACTGAAACCAGAGCTAAAGCCACTGAAGCTGCCAGACTGACAGATGTGTGAGTGAGTACTATCAGCAGATGGCCACTGCGTACGCAATGCCTCTACAAACTTTATTTTCAGTAAGCTGCACCGATTGATCGCAGGCCAATCATTTGGCCTGATTTTCTTACATTTTGTTTTTACTTAAAGTTTTTATTATTTTAAAGGCAATGTTCTACTTGAAATAAAACGAAATTGAAACACTAAAGGTCTATTGTAAAATAATAAGGGCTGTTTAAAAAAAATGTATTGGTCTAATTTGGAATCAGCAATTCAGGCTTTATAAAGATTGATGATCCGCCAGAAAGCTGCAGGCAATGAGCCCCTACCTTTCAGGATCAAAACGAAACCAGGTTTAACCACAAACAGGACGAATAAATGGTGTATATCGCTTCAATTGAACATGACCAAATCATTTTTTGGTGTTATTTGTTTACTTTTTTATGCATAAGATGCTAGACCATACACCATCTGCTGTGAGCAGCCCCTTTATAAG